CACCAAATTTGAACCCTTTTGCACCCTCCAGTTGGCTGCCCTGGAAATCTTTGATCATGAATCACAAGCGATCAATGCTTCAATCCCACTTGTGGTTGACAGATTGGTGCGACTTCTGTCGATTTCTCTCACCAAGACACTACCTTTGAGGGCCATTTTCAAAGTATGGAAAGAGCTTGGACTGCCTGACGACTTTGAGAGCTCGGTAATTGCGAAAAACCCGAATCTGTTTGCTCTTGATGATGGCAATGAACCTAATACTCATGTTTTAAAGCTAGTTAGCGAGGTAGATAAGAGTAGTTTAATTGCTTCTGTTGAGGATTGGAGATTAACGGAGTGTTGCAGAGAGGATTGTGATGTGGATAGAACCGTGATTCGGTATAGTTTTAAGCATAACTATCCTCCAGGGATGAGGTTGAGGAAGAGTTTTAAGGCTAAGGTTAAGGAGTGGCAGAGTTTGCCTTATATTGGCCCGTATGAGGAGATGCCGATTGAGGGGACGAGGAGGAGTAAATTTGGGATGAAGAAAATGGAGAAGCGGGCTGCTGGGATTGTTCATGAGTTTTTGAGTTTGACTGTGGAGAAGATGGTGGAGGTTGAGAAGATTAGTCAGTTTAGGAAGTGGTTTGGGATTGATTTGAATATCCGGGATTTGTTTTTGGATCATCCAGGGATGTTTTATTTGTCGACGAAAGGGAAGAGGCACACGGTGTTTCTACGAGAGGCTTATGAAAGAGGATGCTTGATACAGCCGAACCCTGTTTATGAGGCAAGGAGGAACCTTCTTAATCTTGTTAACGTGGGACGCCGTGGAATGTTAAGAAGGAATGCTAAGTTGAAGAATGTGGGTCAGAGTGAAGGGGATGGATTGGAAGAGGTGGAGAATTATGAAGATGAGGAACTAGAAGAGGCAGAGAGTAATGAAGAGGATTAGTTCAGGTAATTGTCATTTGGATGCTGAAATCAAGGATTTGAGACATAGGATAACAAAAAGCAAGATGTGTGAAATATAAACGTCATCTTTTTAATGTGGCTGTATGAGGAACATCTCATCCTCAGTCGAACTGGGAGGAACCAGCTAAGAGCAATTGACTCCTTAATGTGATTGCAACATCAGTCCTGAATTCACGAGGTTAGAAACTTGAATGCATTTCTTCTTTCATGTTCAAACAATTGAATTTTGAATTAGCTTCTATATAACCCTTCCCTACCGTGGTTAAGTTCTTGTGACACCTGTTTATGAATTTAACTATGTTAGTCAGTGCGGAGATATGTTAGTGAAGTCTATGAATTGAACACCTTCTTGACTCATGCTCAGAAAATGCTCTTACATATTCTAGTCCATAGATTTAACGAACATTTTCTCTGCAAGCTGAAATTTTTCTTCTTTGTTTGTTTGCATAAAGGAGATGTTATCTAACTTAAGTGACCAAGTGCCGCATTGTTTGCCCGTATGTAAAAGTTAATTCATCTATTTCGTGGTATGTAGTTTACAAAAATACAGGTGTTCAAGTGGATTGGAACGTGTTCTCTTTGTACACTGCTGTTGCTTCTTTAAGACGCTTTTATTTGCCTATGTCGTAAACAATTTTTCTTATAAGTCAAGGACATGTTGCAATGTTCTGCTTCCTGGTTTGCTAGTCTTGTGGGGCATGCTATTTTTTTCCGTATCTAGTGATATCATGTTCCATAGGTAATGGAATGATGCCACCTTGTTCTCTGTGTCATTGCTGATATAGCAGCAAGAATACAGTTACTTTCATAAAATCCCAACTGAGACATGGGGCCTAAGACATATAAATCATATTGGTTGCTGAGACATGTTTTTTCCGGATCTGGTGGTATTATGTTCCATAGGTGATGGAATGATGCCTCCTTGTTCTCTGTGTCATACAGCAGCAAGAGTACAGTTACATTCATAAAATCCCAACTGAGAGCTCAGATGGGGAAATTCAGTGACAAAGCTTCACTGTGACATGTCGGATGCAGTATACATAGTATAAATACAATTCCTTGGTTGTTCTGCTTCTAAAATGAACAGGCCTATTGATTTATCTTTAAAAGATTTCTTGATCACTGGTAAATGCACCCTTATGCTAAGTTATATGTTTCTACCAAGCTTTAATGATTTTCATTAGCAAGAGGCTTTCGACAATTCCACTCAGGATAAATTACGTACTTTTTTCCATAATATGCTTAGAATTTAAAGTAAGCGAACGGTAGGGTGGCAAGACCTCCCCCCCCCCAAAAAAAATAATGTTCTTTGTTGTTTAAAAGTTTTTGATAATTTAAGGGGACATAACTCTTATGGAAGCCCTATGCATTGAGGTGCTGTAAAATGTTGAACAATAGCAGGACCGGGATGGATGTTGTCTGGATGGAAATCCTTTTGCCTCCCTATCAAATCTTTTCAGCTCTAGCCTTCTGAGAAAATGCAGTGATCTGATAAAAGTATCACCTAGGAATTAACATAATTCAGTTTGAAAGTGATAATATCTGAGGAGTTTTTACTTTGTGTTCCTCAGCAGAGATTTAAAAAAAACTGGCCCTTTGTTTGGGGAGTAGGTTCCTGCATGGTCTCTATTTGTGCATCGATGGAATTTTATTTGACCATGGAAAGGAGATGTTTATCTACATTTTTATGTGAATGTAGATTAATGGACCTAGCTTTCTTCTTATCCGGGTGATTGGTTGGATGACTGTCAAGGTTTTAGTTGAATGAAAAATTGAATTACCTCAGGCCTTTCATAGTAATCTTAATCCTTTTTGTTTCATCTCTTTTCTTTATTCAACTGAAGCTCAAGTGAACGCGTCTGAACTTCTCTAAGATACATGTAATAAAAATTTGGAGTATTTCTTTCTGGAAGAAGAAATTAATTGTACTTTCGAGATGTTGGTGTAGTGGCTTGGTATCGTTCAGGAAATGAGCACGTTAGTAGAAAGTCATATATTGATTATATAGATATTTTGGGCCGCTTATCAATGAGATAATCTAGATATTTGCTTCTTACCAGTACCACTTCATGTCATCCCCCCAAATTCTATTAAGGGAAAAAAGTTTGGCTTTTGTTCTGAAGTGTCTTAATGCAGCCAATGAGTCAAACTTGGATGTCCAGCTTTAACAAAATTAATCTACTAGAGATTACTGGACAGCGTTTGGTTGCGGCATAAGATACTCTTTTTTTATTTATTTATTTGTTTGTTTGTCTTGATCTGTTGGTAATGTTTCTTGCATATCTTGATGCCATTCTTTATAACTTGTCGACTCTTTTCATAACTAGGTGAATATCTTGATGCATACTGCTGAAATGACTTTTGTATCAGAAAAGGTTCCTAAAATTAAAAAGCTCAAGGAAAAGCACGATGTCCAAGACCAAAGAAACTCTTTGGTATATCTGATTCAAGTGATAAAAAGGCTATGGAGAAGATGCCGTAATCTAAGGGCAAAATGACAATGGAGCCATCTGGAATTTTGCATCATTTGCCCGATGATAAATTCTGATACTTTGAACGCTCAAAGTGGGAGTTTTGATCGTTTGCCAACTAATGCTGGGAAAGGGAGTGACAGTTTTGCCTCCACAGGGAATAGGATGATGCAAAATGTTGTTTTGACCAAACAAGTCATAGAGTTTGCATTACCCTTAGAGAACTCCAAAATTGAATCATTGCTGGCAACTGCGAAGAGTGTGTGATGCATAAAAGCTGAAGACAGTCGGTCTAGTGATGAGGAGAATAGCAAATTTGGAGCTTCATTGACTGAAAATGCCACAGAACTACGTACTAAAAGTATAGACTTGAACAAGGAAAACCACAGTGGTCTTAGTAAGCTTGATACTATTTTATGTCAGTTTATAAAATAGATTGTAAATCAGGAAATATGATCTTTGTACGTGTTGAAGTTAGGTGCTATGAACGATCCCAGTGGTGTCGCGGAAGTGGATGGTGGTACAATCATCAAGCATGTTTACTGCTGTCCAGTGGAAAAGGTAATTGCATTTTTAGTTCTAGAGATTTATAAAGATGTGCCCTGATTTCAGTATCATCTTTCTGAGCTCTTGTTAAAAATGTTAGTGAATGTTAGCTCATTTACATGAAGGTTAATGTAGCATGTGATCCTTATGGGCAAATTAAGCCCCATTAATATGATTTGTTGTTGTTGTACCTATTTTGATCACTTGGAAAGTATGGTTGAAGACGATTTCCTGTGTTAATGCTTTCCCAGCCTTCCCTTGAATCTTCTGCAGACCCCGGGACTTGTACTGGTTTAATGCTGTTCTTGGTTGAGGACCATATTTAGTAGTAGAATAGTTGCATCTTCTTGTTGGCTATAAAACTAGACAAGGCAAATGGGCAGGGCGGACAGGAACTTAAATGGGATTGAAAAATACTGGGTCTATGCCCATGCAGACCCATAGGACTAATGTGTGTGGGACTAAGATACTGCCCAAAAAAATTCCATTTTATCTATTGATCTTTTTTATTCTTTGAAAACCCCCTTTCTCGTTAATCCATATGCTTAATTTTTGCCCTTTTTTATATCATTTATTTTTTTTTTTAATTTTGTAAAAGCTCTGTACTTCTTTTTGCTTGTCATGCAATAATTTTTAAAAATAAGTGTTTTTGTCGAAATAGTTTATTTGATCATTGCAGCGTATCAACTAATTTCTCGTTTCTTTGAAACTTACTGGTTGCCGTGTATTGACGCAAAAACAGAAAAGAATGAAGAAGAAGAAGCCGTGCAAAAGTTGAGATTGACAGTCTTAACTTTCCCTTCTAAGATCTACAGAAAGACAAAATTTGCATCGTGATGCAGAACAAGAGCAAGTCTTTTCTTATTTACCCTTTTTTTATATTAAGATTTAAGAACAAGAGGAAGTGGGAGAGTACATCTCAATATTCACGAAATTTATGGCACATGATTAGGTAGGAATGAGGAAACACTTAAATTTCTTTGATAAAATTAAAGAATTTCCGAATTTTCTTCTGATCAGATCACTGGATCGACCCAATGTTTGTTTTTATTTAAAACATTGATGTACTTTTTTTAACATATAATTTCACTCTAATTAGCCTCATTCATTACATTAAAAACTGCATACCAAAAAACAAAATTTTTTTTTTTGCCATTAAGTGGCATGAACGAGGCTAATTTTGAAGTGAATTTCAGTTTCGACATTTTTATCACGAGCTTGAGAATCACCACTCCACCAGTCCTCGTGAAACCAAATATCAATGCAAGTCGTGATTACGTAAATAAGATGGTGAACGAAATCAACAAAAGCTGGTTTTGAACCGTTGAATTTTTTCAAGACATTCTCGAGCCCTCTCAATGGCCAGATCAATCCTGTTCCTTCTTTCGCTGCAGCCATCCCCAGCAACCCTTTGAGATTTCCGTTTTGGTCCTTCAATATTCTCATCCTCCAGAGAATCTTCTTTCTTCCTCTTCTTGCAAGCTGATGACTCTGTAATCACAACAATATACAACAGAGAAGTTCCCATGAAGAAAAGAAAGAAACCTGCTATAGATCATAAAGGGGTAAAAGAAAGAAAAAACGCAGAACAAACCCCGAGTTGAGGCGGAGGAAATATTTGAGTAACCAGTTGAGTTCTTGTAGTTGTCATGACCGGAAGGAAGAGGCAAGCTTTGTGACTCCAAGCGGGAGATGAAGGATTTAAGTTCATCCTTCAAGTAGTTAAAATTATCTGGTTGTTGAGCTTCCAAAATTTGCAACTCCTCCTTCGCTTGTTCTATCATTTCCTTCGTCTTCGACCCTGATACTGAGCCGTATCCCCATAACGATGATGAACCTTCCATTCCGCCGGCCCTCGTGCTCAGTCTCAGTGGACAGAAACAAGAAACTATGGAGATTGACTTGCTAGAAAATTTAAAGAATGGAGAATGACTTGCAACTTGCAAGTGTGGGTTTTGACCGAAGGGAAAAAAAAATGCCAGGACCCGGAAATTAACCAGTTTGTCACTTTTTACTGCAACAACACCAACTCAAGGAACCTGGAAAGCTTTCTCGCAATAAATACATTTGAAAAAGTTGCTCAGAAGGAGTAACATGAAAAGACATTCTGCTGTTTCTCGACTTTCAAGGTCCCTTTTTGAATGTTTTGTCCCCCCACAAGTAGTACCACTTTGGTCTAGTAGCCCGCTGCCTATGGCTAATAGAAAGTCTCTGTGGAGTGTTATTTTCTGAAATTTTTTTTGTAAAAAAATATATATTGTAATAATTTAATGAATGTAAAACAAAAATGTAATTAAAAAATAAAATTTTTTATAAAAATGACAACTCAAACAAGGATATTTTTTATGGAGAAATTGGTTGATAATACACCAATGCAATAACAACGTTGTAATTTTTTTCAACTATCACGGTGAGTGTGTTTGGATTGTAGATTATTGAAGATAATTTTTTTAAAAAATATTGTAATATTTTTTTTTATATAATGTATATAAAATAAAAAAATAATTAAAAATATATTGATAATATAAGTAAATAAAAATATGCAAATAATTTATAGTGTAAAAAAAAAGTTTTTTTATTTATTAAAGACTTCATAAATTGCAGGAGAAAAAAGGTCGACTGCCATTCGGGCCGACAAAAAGTCCGATATCGAGACATGGCTACAATGCAGGCACAATGCAATGTTTTGAAATGGATCAGACCAACTTGTAGACCATTTCATCTGGAATTTTTTCTCATTTTCTCAAATAGGTGAGTTGGATACTGCGTGTGAGTGCATGGCAATTAGAAACTTACTATGCATAGGGAAAAAAAAGACTGAACCAACGCCAAAAATTGGAATTACAATTCCAGGTTTCCTTTTGAGATTTAGAAGATAAAGCAGACTCCACAAGTGCATGGTAGCATCCTGCATACTCTGTAAGTGCTTCTACAGACTTCAAAAGGGTTCGTCTAACGTTAAAATATACGTGGGTGTTAGATTTTTGAAAAAGTAAAATTAATTAGCAAAAGTATATAATTATTATATTTATAATTATAAATAAATATAATAATTACTAGTTGAGTTACATTGTGCTGCGCATAGCCAGTGCCCACTGAAAAGTATTTAATGTATTAATTGATCAAGTAATATATTCGTGGTATCTGCAATCATATTTTTTGAAAAAAATAACAAAACATATAAGTATTTTCATAATTTAGAAGTGACAACGTAGTTGGTGTTTAATAAAAAAAAGAAAAATGTGCATATTTTTTCACGAAAAAAACAATGTTTTTTTCGTCACTTTTTAGTGGTATAAAGGAAAATGTGCATGGTTGTTAAAAAAATATACCAGTTTTGTTAAACTCTAAAGAAGTATTTATTTTAAACTCTTTATTTTTTATAGTATATAAACCATTCAATTATATATGAAAAATTAGTTTTATTTTTATTAGCTTGGAATAGCTCAATAGCATAGTCCTTTTATTTTTATTTTTTTGTTTTTTCATGAGGTTGCACTATTGAATTATATTGTGAAGAAAACAAATGATAGAGAATTGAAAGTTAATTGTTTGGAGATTTTCTTGGCTCACCCTGTGGACATTATATGATAGAAATTTATTTAATTTTCATCTCAAATAAGCTTGCCGCCTATATATCTAAAAATCAGAGACAATATCTAAAAAATAATGGTCAAAGGCTTTAAACTCTAGCAAAGTGCATCACAAAGTTAACAATCCAACAAAAACTAAAAGGAGAACAATTGATAAATTCAAATCCAACAACTCAAAATTGACAATAAAAAAGAATTCATTTAATAAAACAAAATAAACATAAAAGAATTTTGTTTCTCTTATACTTTTTTTTCAAATCCATAGTATATGTTTTGGTAGATTTTTTTTCCTCTAAATCCCAAACAAATAGAAAAAAATCTAAAATACAAATTCAAATGCATGATATAGTTATATTTACTTTCTAAAATAATAAGCTTGCATTTACACTAACAATTTATAGGCTTTTTCACTGATTTTAATACTATAAAACAAATTGTTTAGATCGTTTTCCTTTTTTTTTTTCTCTTTATAGCAAGCGGTTAGACTGCTCTTCTCTTACCATACTTCATATCATATCATTATTCCATGGTCCAAATTTTGCAGCCTGTTTGCATTCTTATAATGGTAGGACAAATGTCAAGGCAGCAAAAGAAATGCAAATTTCACCTCCCATCAGGCCACATGGCAATGCCTAAAGAAGCTACAATAGAGCCAACTGGTTATTATATTATATATATATATATATATTTAGTTAGATTAAAACTAATCTAAGGGTGATGGATTAGACAACACATCAACTTAGTCTCATAATTGAGCTTAATGAAACTGATTAGGCCTAAAGAAAAAGATATGGCCTAGTCCTTTTTAAAGTCAGAAATTATCCCAATGGGTCCTAGTTGACAAAAATACATTTTTGATATCCAAATTTTGACATATGAATGATTTTAATCCCCAATTTTTGGATAATGACAAATCTAGTACCTAATTTTTCAACTATTGAGTATATTTAGTACATCTGGTGGATTTTTCCCAAATTACTATCGAAAAGAGTCATTTAATAGTTACATGTTTAGCAACTATTGTATAAAATTGTCAAAAAAATGTAAGATATCCTTTTGACACTAAGTGTCATGTAAAATATCTTTTTGGCACTAAGTACTAAATTTAAGGACTAATAATTTATCAAATAAAATATTCATTTGACACTAAGTACTAAGTTTAATGACTAATAATTTTATTAAAAGGTTTTTTTACATTTTTTGACATTTTTTAATGCAATAGTTACCGGACACGTGACTGTCACATGACTCTTTCTAATAACAATATGGGACAAACCTGTTAAATGTACTAAATGTGCTCAAAAGTTAAATGTTTGGGTACCGGGTTTATTTTTGTCCAAAATTTAGAGATGAAAAATGTTCATCTGTCAACGTTTGGATACCAAAACTGCATTTTTCTCTATCTTAGTTTGGTCTAAACACATGGGAAGGAGCAAAAGCAATTTGCAAGAGAAAATATATTGAAGTCGTGCCACTTGTCAAATAACCAGTAAGCCACATGACAAGATGAGAAACAAAACACTAAACCTCCTATTTTTCTTATATATGTGCATATGTATAATAGATTTGGTGAAATCTATGTGTAATAAATTTGGTGAAATCTATGTGTAATAATAAATGTCCGTTAGGAAACATCCGTTTAAAAAAAAAGAAAATAAAACTACAAGAATCATAAACCATTGTAGGCAAAAGTAGCTTTTCATTTTTTCGTTTTGGAAGGTAAGTAAAATACTAAATCTTTCAAAAGACAAGACAATCAATTACATTTATTACAATTATGTCGTGGTTGGAGCTCAATTTTAGAAGGTACGTAAAGCACTAAAACTTTCAAAAGATAAGACAATCATTTACATTTATTACAATTATGTCGTAATTGGAGCTAAATTTTAGAAAGTAATTATTAACATTTGTGAGGATATCTGTTAATTATAAATAGGATTATAATACTATGTTTGAACCAGAAGTCTCATGCTTTTGGAAGAAATGAAAAAGAACTAAATTAATTTACAAATAAAACTGCTCAAGACTTGTCAATTTTATATCAAGAATTAATATTAAAGAAGCTCATTTTTTAAAAAGTATATATATATATAAAGCAGTTTGCAGATGATTGTTGGAAAAATTTTTATATGCCATCTTTGGGGATAATTTAGGTAGGGGAAAAAAAATCAAATGCAAGTAATTATGTCAAATCTACAACATTATAATGTATAGTTGAGTTGGGTTTGACTATTGTGTCATCCCATTTGCGATTGGCTTATATTCCATATGATTATCAAGCTTATCCATTTGCGATTGGCTTATATTCCATATGATTATCAAGCTTTTAAGTGGTGTTTAGACCACTTAAAATAATAGAGGGTCTTAATGCTAAAGATTACTGGTTCAAGATGCACTTAATAATGAACATGATTATAGTGCTCTTCAACTTGATAATAATGAAGACTTTTAATACTAAAAAATGTTGCTTCAAGTGTTTGTGTTCAATCTTTTGTTGTCGATGTTTGGATAGGTTTGATCATTTACTTTCTTTCTTTCTGGAATTTTGAATGTTTAGCTGTTACAATAAAATTTGTGAAATTTCCACTGCAATACCTTCTCAATAGCCATTGTTTGAATATGAAAATTTCGTTATGGAATATATGATACATGCAAATGAATATCCATAGGAACCTTCTTACATTTTCTAACTATATTTCCAAAATCTAATGTTTGTGGCAGCAGGAGGTTAAACTGTGATTAAAGATTATCTATTGTTTGCAACTTCGTGACTAAGGTAGGATCTAAATCTGACATTATAGTTGATACATGTTAATTGTTGATTTGATATGGCTATGATTTTGCTATAATGGTATATTAACAATGGTTATGATGTTTTTGCTATTATTGTTGTGGTATGGTACGATTATCTACTATAATCCTTTTTTTTTAAACTTATACATTCGTTTTCCTTTTATAGTTTGTTGATTTGGCCAATTTACTTATAATTTCATGCATTTCAACTGATTCAATTAAACCAATTACGATGCAATTCTAATTCTACTATTTTTTTATAAATTCATTTGAATAAATATTTTTATCACATAGGTTAAATCTCCTGCACTTAGCATGGGCTTCGAGGGTGTGTTGGATAGCCAAATAATGGCAAAAAATTATTTGCTTATATCACAAATACAATTTCTAACATACCTTTTTATTTTTCTAATTATTTTTTTATCTCACATACATCACATCACAAAAAAGTGCCACAGTAATTATTCCAAATAATATTTCAAATAATCTCCTATCCAAACACAAACGTTTGAACCAGAAATCTAGTGCATTCGAAAAGAAAAAAAAGGACTAAATTCTTTTACAAATAAAACTGGTCAAAACTCTTAAAGTGCAAAATGCATTTAATGACTTTAAATACTTAACCTCTAAACTAATTTTAATGAGTTCCTATTGCACATAAGGAAAACAAATAAATACCAAACAATTCGTATAGATACATTTTACGCCAGGGTTTTTCTAAATAGCACATGTAAAACAAATATTTGGGCAAAACGTTTAAGAGATTAATTTTTATACATTATCAATGTAAAAAATTTTTGTACACAAGTAGGCTTAAATGAATGCTACACCAACACTGTTCAAATTTTGAATTCACTTTTTATCAATGTATTATATATCCATGCTTGTCAGGTAAAAAATCTTTACATTAATAGTGTATTATAAAACATTAATCCAACATTTAAACAATATAAATCCTTAAACTAAACAGGTATGTCAAATTATTCTTTAAGCAAAACATATTAGGAAAAACAATACAAATTATTCTACACATTGTTACTACATTCAATGCATTCTAAACCGATTTAAGATAATAAAACGTCAAATAGGAATATGTGAACATATTCACAAAATTGGTTCCAATTTAGGATAGAAATCTCATAGCCCAAACGGTGCCTAGTAAAAAACACCAGGGCTGGAAATTGTTTGGGTCCAATTTACAGCCAAGTGTTGCCAACTGGACATCTGGTGCCCACAAAGTTTGAGCAACAAAAACCATGGGCCAATATTAATTGACAAAATTACCCTCACACTCTCCCTGCTATAAATATTAAACATCCGCAGTGAACATTTCCGAATCATTCCTCCAGTAAAATATTTATTTCATATACATGCAAATTTACACGACACAAAAAATATCTCTCTCTTCTTAAGCTTCCTTTTCCCTCTAAAAATACTGACTTGAACACGTGTCAACGGGTGGACAACGGCGGAGAATGGCGGACTCGCCCTCGGAAGAAGAGGCCGCCGATTTTAGGGAGGCGCCGGATGAGCTGCGCTGTAGAAGGTCTGACGGTAAGACGTGGCGGTGCCATAGCTGGAGGATCCATGGAAAACCCTACTGCGAAAAGCATTACCTCCAAATCGTCGGAAAAAATTTGAAAAGGAAATCTTCTGCTCCGTCGAGAAATTCTAGGTCTGAGAAAAGGCGTTCGGAGAAATCTAAGGCTAGTGGTAGTGGTAAGGCTGGTGGTTCTGTTGCAAATAAGTCGAAGAAGTTAGGGCTTTCTAGCGGTGGTAGCAAAGACAAGAGGAGCAAGGGCGGGGGCGGCGAGTCTTCTTCGACAGAAGAGGTGTTGCCAAAGAAAAAGCCGAGGAGTAAGAGGATGAGAGTGGAGGCGGAGGAGGAGGAAGATAGCGAAGAGACAGAGGAGGATGAGAGGATGAATGTTGTGAAAATTACTGGTAGAAGGAGTGATGAGAAGGGGGCAAAATTCGAGAGCCACAGGGGAAATGCTGTTAAGAGATCTAAGGTGGGTGATAAAATTGATTCTCTGATGAAAAAGAAGCAAGTTGGTTGGTTGGAGGAGAGTGATGAGGAAAGAGGTGATAAGGTGGGTGATAAAATTGATTCTCTGATGAAAAAGAAGCAAGTTGGTTGGTTGGAGGAGAGTGATGAGGAAAGAGGTGATGTTGCAAAAGGTGCTAAAGGGAGTGCTAGGGATAATGTGGTTCAAAGTTCTAAAAGTGGTGGTAAAAGTGAGTTGAGGAGGAAGCATGCCAAGGAGATTGAAAGAAATGAAGAGAGTAGCGATGATGAAGAGTACTGGTTCAAAGAAATAAGTAGTGCTACAGAAAGTGGTGGAGTTAAGTTGGAAAATGAGAAGAAAGCTGTGAGAAGTTATCGGAGTGATGATGAAGAGGTAGGAAGGCGTAATATGATTAAAATTGGTAGAAGGAGTGGAGAATTTCAGGATGGTGTAAAGGACAGTGATTCGAGTGATATGAGTGATGAGGAGGAGGGGCAGAAATATAAGGTGGAAAAAATTGATAAGAGGCATAGGGAGCTCGAGTTGGATAAGAAGAAGGAAGTTGAGAGCAGCGAAGAAGATACTGAGGAGGAAGAGGAGGAGCGGAGTAGAGAGCTAATTACTGCTGAAAGTAGTGGCGGGGATAAATGGGGGAAAAAAAAGAGGAAAGTAGAGAGGAATGACCAGATTGTTGATGAAGAAGGGAAGGGTAGCAGGCGTAAAGGTGGTCAAAGGTGTGGTCAACTTGAGCTGCGAACAAAGATGAAAAATGATCGGAGGGCAATGAGTAATGAGGACAAGGAGGAAGATGGTGAGAATTCGAAGAAGAAAAATGGAGATAGTGTGGTGAAAATGTTGAAAAAGGGTTCGAGGACCAAGACACTGAAAGTGGCGATGAAAGGTATGAAATCTGAAGAGGATAATTTTGATGATGGTGGTTTTGAAGATATCATGAAAGATGGTAAGGATGAACGTGGTAAGAAGAAATCTCAGCTGCGGGTGAACGCTAAGGAGGTTGGGAGAGTAAAAGCAGAGGGAGATGGTGATGATGGTATTGATGTTGATGGCTCTAAGGAGAATTGGTTACAGGGTAAGAGTAACAAGGTTGAGAAAGGGGAAGTAGCTGGATGTGACAATGACGGTGATAATGTTGATGGTTCTGAGGAGATGGATGATGCTTGTTTAATAAAATTTGCAAAAAAGGATTTCATGCCTGCAACTTTATTGAAGAGAGGACAGAAGAAGTCACGGGAGAAGACAGGGGGGCTGAGTAACATGTTTAAAGATGAGAAAGAGGAAAGATCCAGCGAAAAGGATAAAATTGGCGATGAAAATGGTAAATCTGTGTTTAAGGCAATAAAGAAAGTCAAGAAAACTTTGAAAACAGATTCAACTGAAGAGAGGAGGAGGAGGAAGGGTCCAAAAATGGAAAAGGTGGGAGGAATTGAGGAAGAAGACGATGATCGTACAGAATCAGATGATGGAGCACACTTAATTAGAGAAAGGAGTTCTCGGGAGAAGAAGAACTGCCATAAGCCCAAGGTTGATCTTAGAAGAAAGCACTTCAGTACTGATGTAAGTTGTCTGCTGGCTTCTTAAGATTATATAGTTGGAATAGTATGTAATCTATTGGGATGAATCACAGTCATACTAAGAGTTGAATGAACAGGATCCTGAAGATGATTGCCAAATGTGCCACCAATGCATGTACAGCAATAAGAGGGTTGTGAGGTGTCGCAAGGAACGGCAATTGAATGGCTATAATAGGCGCTATTGTTATCTCTGTATCAAAAGATGGCAAGTGTATCTGGAAGATATTCCAATTTCACATTTGAGTGATATTAATAGATCCCAAAAATTACATGCTTGTTCTGCCATATTTATTAATTACCATGTTAACTGCAAGATGGAAAATAAGCTTTTGGCTGTTCTAATTGATTATGCGAGAATCATGTATACTGTGGTATGTGCGCCTTGTATTTGTCGAGTACAGACCAAGTGCATTATGTTTTCTGTTGATCAGTGTCTCTTGGCTGAATAAGGAAGTGTATGAGTCATTGATGGTGTGCTAACATATGAGGTTCTAGGTTGGGTTCCACTGTTTAGCATGCAAAATAATGAATGGTTTTCAAGTAGATATTGTCTTTTGGTTCTCATATTTTATCTGATTGCGTTATATTTTAGGTTTTTACCTAGTGCATCAGCATTTTATAGGGGATTGAGTGCAATCACCAATTCTGTGTATGTGTGGTGTGTCTTTTTCATTAGTATAGCTTATCATAGAGATGTGCACTCTTATTAATTTGAGCTACTTTGGATGTTCTAGTCTACTGGCTCTGGCTGATCTTAGTGTGCTGGTGGCGGCATGGCAGTAGTACATGTTTGTGTTAAGCTTGTGCCATTAGTGTATTTTCTTGTCAACAACCTTCTTTATCAGTTATATGGTGCTTTTCAGCTCTTATGTGTGCTGGCTTGAGTAGATGCTAATAGAGTGCTTAGCTTGTCTTGATTGCAATATTTACCACTATATTTGACTGAAATACAGGTACCCTCAGCTTTCAGAGGAAGCAATAGCAGAAGCATGCCCATATTGCCGAGGAAACTGCAACTGCAAAGCTTGTCTACGAAGAGATGAGATACAGAATGTAAGTTTTTGCTGCATTGGGTTGCTTTCTTGCTTCCAGGGTAGACGGTGGTAATTTATGATTGGTTGTGTTCATTATTGCAGCAAACTGTATATTCTGGGACTCCAGATAATGAAGCTGAAGTGATACATCACTTTAAGTATCTTGTTCGCATGGTTGCCCCTATCCTCAAACAATTTGATCATGACCAAATGGTGGAAAAGGAGACAGAAGCTAAAATTCGAGGTATCACTTAAATATGTTAGATGGATTTGAGCTTGCAGGTGCTTTTGTATTTTTGCATTTTTATTGGTTTCCTTTTTCCTTTTTTTTTGGCTTGTGTTCTGGGGGGTTGGGGGGTTTTAGGGGTGGGTGGGGAGTTTGCTCTATGCTTATTAGCCATCATCTCACTAATGCTTTTTCTTCTCCTCGAACTCTCCTCCATTTCGGTTCTCTTGGTTATAAGTTATTGCGAAAGGGCTTGTGTTTTGCTACCGAAGTGGACAAACATGAGAGGGAGGTGGGTGAGAAAAGATTGAACAGACTGCTTATTATATGAAGATGTCAAGATGGTTTAGTTAATGTATTTCTAATAAAATTGCATGTATACTTCTTTCTGTCAGTATTTTGGTACTTCTACATGTGATAAATGTTGGTTATACAGGAATATTATCGTCAGAGATAGGAGTAGAGAGGATTAGATGTTTCGCAGATGAGCGTCTTTATTGGTAGGCCACTTCTTTATTGATTAGTCATTTTCTTAGTAACTAAGTTGATCCTATTTTGAAGGTTTGAGAACTGACACATGCTTGTGCAGTGATTGTTGCGGTACCTCTATAGTTGATTTCCACAGAAGCTGTCCAAAGTGTTCTTATGATCTCTGTCTGACTTGCTGTCGAGAAATACGTGAAGGCTGTTTACAAGGAGGTAGTAAGGAAGTTGTTATCGAGTACGCTGACCCAGGGAAAGGATACTTGCATGGCGAACTGCAGGTGCCTCCAAAACAAGAAAGCTTTTCAGGTTCATGTAGTGAATCAGTTCCTGGGATGGAAAGTACCCTTCCTGACTGGAAAGCAAAAGAAACTGGTGAAATTCCTTGCCCTCCTAAAGAAAGGGGTGGTTGTGGGTATGAGCAACTGCAGCTCAGGTGCATATATGCTGAACAAGATGTGTTGGATTTCAGAAAGAAAGTCGAGAATTTAATTGAGAGCCATAGACTTGGCAACTGTAGTGAAACTTCCAAGCAGTGTACCTGTTTCGAATACAGTGATGATTCTGATATTGGAGATAAACAACTGAAGAAAGCTGCTTCAAGAAAGAATTCTGGTGACAATTACTTGTACTGTCCCTCTGCAAGTGACCTCCAGCAAGGGGACTTGGAGCACTTCCAGAAACATTGGATTAGGGGAGAACCAGTCATCGTTGGCAATGTTCTTGAACTAACATCTGGGTTAAGCTGGGAGCCAATGGTCATGTGGCGTGCAGTACGTGAGATCCTAGTTAAAAAGGGATCGTCGGATTTGTTGGTGACAGCAATTGATTGCCTTGATTGGTGCGAGGCAAGTCCTTTCTGTCTATCCTTTTTTCATTCTTTCCTGTCTGATTTTCTTCTCTCTTTTGCAGTCTTCTTATGTGACAATCAATGTGCTTTTCCAATTTATCTGATTCTCCATTAAATGGCAGTTATCCTAACACGTGCTGTTAGCATTTATGGAGTAGTAGTAGTTGATGGTAAATGTTGGCAAATTGTGTGGCTATTTTTGGAAGGATGCTAACTATCTTGGTTTACTCTTTAGCTGTTGGTAATTACGTTCTTAGCTTCTCTTCGATTCTTTAAGCTGCTGGAGCATCTCTCTTAAATTCTAGAAAATGTAAGATCTTTTTCCCAACTACAAGATCACTTCCATAAAGAAAGGTCTAAATCTTATCTGCGTTTAGGAGTCGCAGACATTCTTGAACCTAAATACGGATCAAGAGATGTGCCACATGAATTGGCTGATATATGGTTCTTTTTCTTTGGTTCATGACATATAGCTGTTAAAATTTTCATTTTGGTACTTTGGTATTTTGAGATTTGGAATACTTAATCTTGACATTTGGATTACTTTTCTCACCGTGACATGCTGCATGGATGTGAAGTAAGTAGTTTTCAGCATGCTTTTCTATTGGTACCTTGGCTTTGAACCATCAGGATCAATAAAGATGCAAATCAGCCACAAAGTAAATACACGCAGCAGGCAGACATACATCTGGCCAGATATAACTGTTGTAGTTTTCTGTGATTTTTGGTTTTATTCTGTGGTCCTTATAGTAATGTTTTTTAATCTTTTTGCAACTTGGGGTGAGAGTAACTTTGGGCAAAGCTGTTTTTTTTTTTAAATTTGTTTTATTACTCTATTTTCAGCATATGACTGTCAACATGTTTGTCTTACTTTTTGGATGCAAATTAGCTTCAGCGTTTCTTAATGTAGAATTCATCATAATTAGTGCTCTGCTTTTTGTTGCAGTAGACATCCTTGAAAGTGATTTCTGTATAAATTATATTAAACATACATATTGAAGAGGTGTATATTAGTTTCTAGTTGGATGGCTCACAAAAGTGCTAGGGGAATTGTTCAATTAGGTGGCTGCTTTTACTTATGCAGCAAATCTGATCACTGTTACCTGGGTCTATTGATGGAAAAAGCAGGTTCATGTTTCTGTTTGGTGTTGATAAATAGTTACGATATCACCTGATTTTACCAACAATTTTCTGCTGTAAACAAAACTGTATTTACAGCATTTGGTTTCTCTTTGTCCTGATTTGTGGCACAGCACTTTCCTTTTCTATTTGCTTATGCATGGTAGAAATATTGCGTTCCATTGCCAGCCCCACTTTCCAAAATGTCTTACAGGGAGTCGATCTAAAAATTGCAGCACTAAATGTCTTGGCATGTGGAATGTTGAGAAACACTGTAATTGCAATACCACTCTTAATGCTCGTTTGTTGGTGAGTTTGAGAGTAAATTATGTTTTTATATTATCTTGGTATTTGATAAAATGTTGATCTTTTTGTGTTTGAAAGGTACTACTCTCAATAGGTTGTTCAGGCCACGATGGTGCAGTAGGTTTGCAAGTGACCATGCATGTGTTTGAATGGTTTTATGATCATTAAAGATGTTCTCAATTTCTTAGAAAAAGAAATTATTCACTTCTAGCATTAGAATACAAAATTGACATATATGATGGTGTATCTTGCTTCATTCACAGATGTAGCATGTTTTCCCATTTCTTGTGGAAAATTATTTCATACTTCAAATTTTTGGTGTGTATCTCTTGCTCTCTGAGTTTTCTAAGCTGTCCTCTATGTGTGCAGGTTGATATAAATATACACCAGTTTTTTAAGGGATACACTGATGGTCGGGCAGATGGAAAACACTGGCCTGAAATGTTAAAACTCAAGGATTGGCCGTCATCAAGTTACTTTGGGGAGAGACTGCCTCGCCATTGTGTAGAATTTGTTAGTGCCTTGCCTTTTAAAGAATATACACATCCAAATTCAGGAATTCTTAATTTGGCGGCAAAAGTGCCAACTACAGTGCTGAAGCCAGACATGGGGCCTAAGACTTATATAGCATATGGGTTTGCAGAAGATCTTGGACGGGGAGATTCAGTGACGAAGCTTCACTGTGACATGTCAGATGCGGTATATATAGTATAACTATTTATGCATTGGTGGTTCTGTTTCTAAAAATAATGGGTCTAACAGTTAATCTTCAAAGATCTCTTGATCACGGAAGATGCACCCTTATGCGAAATTATATGCTTCTACCAAAGCTTTAAGGATTTTCTATCAGCATAAATGCACACCTTTTTTCCCCCTTTTCCCACTATATTTGAGACATAGGGTTCAAACTAAGTGAGCAGTATGGTTGCAAGGCCATGATTTTGTTTTTCCTTGATGTTCTTTGTGGCTGCTTTCGATAATTTAAGGGACATGGTTCTTATGGAAGCCTTTTGCATTGATGTGCTGCAAAAGTGGAGGATAGCAAGACCAGGATTTTGTGTGGATGGAAAGATTTGTGATTCCCTATTAAAGCTTTTCAGCGCTAGCCTTTTGAGAAATTGCGATGATCTGATATAACTATTAGGAATAAATATAATTCAGTTTGAAAGTGATAATTCACTTAGTGCTCCTCAGCGGGACATCGTGGAAAGACTGTCCCTTTTTATGTAGATTGATAGGTTCCTGCATGATTTCAGTATTGCTTTGGTGCAATTTAATTTGACCATGAATGGAGATGTTTATCTACATTTTTTTGGGGAACATAGATTAATGGATCCAGCTTTCTTTCACTATTTTCCAGATGATTGTTTGGATGACCCGTCAAGTTTGTAGTTGAATGAAAAATTGTATTACCTGTAGGCTTCCATAGTAATCTTAATCCATTTTATTTCATATTCCTTGATTGAGCTAAAGCTTAAATGAATGTGTCTTAACTTCTGCGAGATACAGAAATATCTCTTTAGGAGAAAGAAATTGTTCTCTTTGTATTATTGATAGTTTCTACATATGGGTCAAAGAAGTTAAAGACACGTGTAATCTAAATTTGTAGTATCCCTTTATGGAAAAAAAGTTCTCTTTGTATTATTGATAATTTCTACATGTTCGTCTAGTGGCATGGTAGCATCCAGGAAATGAGTTCATTATTAGAAACAACCATTGATAATAAAGTATAAGAAGAAACGTACTTGCTCATTTTGGGGCTTATCACTGAGATAATCGAGGTGTTTGCTTCTTGTGAGTATCAGTCTAGGTCATTCCCCAAAAAACTAGAAAAAGGGAAATTGTGCAACTCTTGTTCTGAAGTATCTTGATGTAGTCAATGAGTCAAACTTCGATGCCCAGCTTTCAAAAAATTAATTTACGAGAAATTACTGGTTTGCTTTTGGTTTCTTTTTTTTTTGGGTGACAGAAAATACTGTTTTCTCCTGTTGTTTGTCTTGATATGATGGTAATCTGTTTTGAATATGGACCTATAGATGCTATTCTTTATAAACTATGTTAACTCTGTTTATATGAACCAGGTGAATATCTTGATGCATACTGCTGAAGTGGCTGTTGAACCAGAGCAGCTTGCTAAAATAAAAGAGCTCAAGCAAAAGCATGATGCCCAAGACCAAAAAGAACTCTTTGGGACGTCTGATCCAAGTGATAAAGAGGCTGTGGAGAAGGTGCCCGTGACGTTGGAACCATCTGGAAGTGCATTAACTACTGAAGTTAGTCATGCTTCTCCTAAAATTTCTGATTCTTTGAACCTTCAAAGTGGGAGTATTGATCATTTGCCAACTAATGCTGGAAAAGGGAGTGGAGGTGGTGCCTCCATTGCAGCTGAAACATTGCAAGATGGTATTTTGACCAAACCAGTCACAGAGTTTGGATTGCCCTCTGAGAGTTCCCACATTGGCGGGTTGCTGGGAACTCAAAAGAGTGTGCCAGGTAGAAGAAATGATGAAGCTAGTCAGTCTAGTGATGAGCAGAATAGCAAATTGAGAAGTTCATTGACTGAAAATGCCTCTGAATTACATATTAGAAGTACAGACTTGAACAAGGAAAATAGTAGTGTAGGTGAGCTTGATATTGTTCCATCTGGGTATGTGTTTCTAAAAAAGAACGTACATCAGGAAATGTAATCTGTATATGTGTTTGAAATAGGTACCAAAAACAAGCTGAATGGTTTTTTTGAAGTCGAGGGTGGGGCAATCTGGGATATATTCAGGCGGCAGGATGTTCCCAAGCTAGAGGAATATCTTAGAAAGCACCATAGGGAATTCAGGCATATTTACTGCCGTCCCGTGGAAAAGGTAATTTTATCATTAATTTTATTTTTATAAGTTTCTGCGATGAGGTCCCAAGACATGCCAAAAAGAAGTGTTACACAGGTGGTCTTTTAATTGCATTCGCTGTGTATTTAGAGATTGATAAACGTGTGCTGAAAATGTTAGAAAATGTTCACTAGATGACATGAAAGTCAGTGTTGCATCTGGTCTCGATGGGTAAATTAAGCACCTTTAACAGATGTTATTGAATCCGATTGGATCACTTGAAGACGATTTTCAGCGTTAACGTTTGCTTAGTGTTGCCTTTCATTGAACCTGAACTTGTGCTTGTTTAATTATCTTCTTGGTTCTGTTCTGCCACCATGGGCTTAATGTTTTTGGGGGGGCCATGTTTAGTGGAAGTGCTGCATCTTGATATGGTTACATATGTGTTTGTTATATTTAAGCTTTCTATAGATACATTTTGATCCCATCTCTCTCTGAGAGTTAGCAATTGACTTCTTGTTACTGTCAAACTCTGGACCAGCTAATTATCATGATCCAATGTGTTTCATTCTCCAGATTGTTCACCCAATTCATGACCAAGCTTTCTACTTGACTGAGTATCATAAGAAGAAGCTGAAGGAAGAGTTTGGTTGGTTAAATATCTTTTAAAGCTTTAACAAATCTTGTGTATCTTTTCAATTTTTTTCCAAAAGGTTTATGTAATATTCTTATGTGGTCAATATAGGAGTTGAACCCTGGACGTTTGTTCAAAAACTCGGTGATGCAGTTTTTGTGCCGGCAGGGTGTCCTCATCAAGTTAGGAATCTTAAGGTATGTAGCACCTTGCATGTTTATATTTTCAACTCTCTTTCAAACCTTTAAGTGTGTAACTATGGTTTTAATGCACCTGAAATCTATCTCTTTTAGCATCTGTACATGGCTATCTTAAGCAGATGGTTGTGCTCAGGTGTGCTTATTTAAATCTTGGGCAGATTGTAGAAGGAATTTTTTGTGCCATCTTTTTCATTTTTACCTGGAATTTATACTGGGAAAACAACTTCAACGACATTCCAATGGTTCTTAAATCCTTTGGGATAACACCTGGTTCTGAGTGCAATACTCAGCTCCTCAAAAACCCTCATGTTTCATACTAAAGCTTTTTGACACCTACAGGATGTACTAGCAATTATGAGACATGTTTGGTGACTCTTTATGCTGATTTGCTACAATGAAACTGGTGATCATATTCCTGTATCTTAATTTATCGAGATCTTGGTTTTTAGTTCTTGCTTTAACATCATGAAGGGGTCTTGCAAAATTTGTCACACTTTACTTCTTCATTTCTAGACAAATTTCTTACAGAACTTTCATTTTTAGGGGATTTACCAGTATTTTTCTTAAAAAATATCACCTTCATCTAAGGCAGAGTGGTAGTAACTAGCATGATTCAGATGTATGATGTTCCTTGTCATTTGCAGAACTTTTGATGGTTCTTTCATAACAGGGGTATAAACGCTGCGGTAGGACTCAGGATTGCTTGTTAGTCTCCCGTACTTGAGTTCTTATAAAATATGCTCATATTACAGATTTCTTCCTCCTTATCCCTAGATATGTTTTCGTGGTCTGCTAAATTTGCTTTCTGTTGTGCTATACAGGATACCAATAGTTTTTTTTTTTCCATTACTGGTGGATGTTATCGTTTTCTCTTTTTGTTTCTAGCTTTTAATCTTCTCAATTCAACTCTGCAGTCTTGCATTAAGGTTGCTCTCGACTTTGTTTCTCCTGAAAATATTTCTGAGTGTATTCGCTTGTCTGAGGAATTTCGGACTCTTCCACAAAAACATCAGGCCAAGGAGGACAAGCTAGAGGTATAGTAGCTGAAAATATTAGTGCTGAAGTGAACTTTTAAATTTTCGGAAGGAAGCATTACTTTTCTGGTATGACTTTTTACAGCATGAACTATTTGATGAACTATACCTGCCACCATCATGTTGCAGTTTGAAAGTAATTGCCATAGTTTATCATCGTTGATGTTGAGATGATTGCCTTTTCAGCTTTATGTAACATCCTATATGGTTAATTCAGAAATACCTTTGAACTAAATCATTCTTTGCCTGCAATAGGTTAAAAAGATGGCTCTCCACGCACTTGACAATGCTATAAGCTTTTTTGAGCAGACAAAGAGCAGATATTTAAAGGTTGCTATTCCTTTACCATTTTCTAAGGAACTACCTCTCGTTCCATTATCTTATTAGTTATGTTGGAATATTTTGTACATAAAATAGTAGAAGATAAATAGCTTTGATTTATGCTTGCATGGCTTGGTTGGGATCATGGAGATAGAAATCTGACTGTAATAATTGCTCACAGGTCATGGTTGTTTTATTGCATGACAATGGCATTTTTCCTGATTCTAATGCAGAAATTGCTTGTTTTAGTTTTCATGTAATGAAGCAGTGCATTTGATACAGTTGCAATGTGCTTGGTTGCCTATAGAATCGTTCATAATTTGGCTTCATAGTGACCATTACATTGGCTGAAGGAAATCAGTATTAAAATAGCATGGGATTGAAGGAATTTCTCTTGATTTTTATTTTCGCAATTGCTATCGTTTTAACTTGCTGCTATGTTACGGGCGCTCTACATGTTTCACATTCGAGTACAATTTGCTGTTTGACCATTTCTTTTAGTTGTAAAAACATGGTTCTGGATATTAAGATGCTTTTTTTTTTTCTATGCATAACCCTATCTGTTAGGTCCAAGCAATGCCAAATGCTAACGCGTCTTCTCCCTGATTAAATTACTTCTGTTACCTTGTTTGGCAATTTTGGTGATGTTAGAATGTGCAGGTTGTTGTGCACAGTGTGGTACAACATGCTGATTTTTACCATTTTGGATACGCTTCCTGGAGTTTTTATGTTGGGTATTGTTCATTTTACTTGGTAGTGTGTGTAGCAAAGCCTGGCTTTTTTTGTTGGTAACTTCACAGAGTTTGTGTGTGTTGGTAATACATCCTGTTGGATTTCTCTGGTTTGTTAGGTATATTAGTTAAAGTCCATGCATTGAGCTATGCTGCTAGTCTGTACAGGAATTGTTAATTTCTGCTGAATTGGTTTGTTATATACTATGGCAGTTTGACATGGAATTGACATTTTTCAGGTTATCAAACCAGAAGTTACATAACACAAAATCTATATTTGGCTGCAACATCCATGCGACATCCAAGCTTATCAATCATTGAAAGATGTATTTGATTCCTGACTTCTGTTCTTCGGATAATCTGCTACGGCCTCAAAATCCAGAGTCGTTCAGGTGACCTGGTCCGACGACTTGTGTCAAGCCACTGCTCAGCCTGTGACTTATCATGTGTCTAGAGATAGAGAAACTTGCCGTGCACCTAAGAGCTGTAAAGGTTTCCATGACTAGAAATGTACCTGACAGTTTTGCGTATATAGAGTAAAGCCCGACTCTTCTGGACTCAACTTCGTCCTGAAAGTTGTTCGTTTTACTGGTTTATCCACGTGTCCGTGAAAGGGTATATGCAACCATGGTACGCGGGGTATACTTGTGAATGGAAAAAAGGGGAAAATGAGAGGAGAGTGGGGAAGCCGAGCTGGCTGTCTTTGCATTTTTCGCAGTTGAAGATTTCTACGTGTTTGGGATAATATCAGTATCAGAAACCTTCCTTGAGGTTTCTTCTAATGTCACTTAGCATCTTGCAGTTTTAAAAATATTACTTGCATCCCTTGTGAATTGTGAAAAGATTATATTAATCCTCACTTGGTATATAATTCACATATCAAATAAATGAAGTTAAAAAAATAAATTTAAAGGTACGTTTTTCTCTTTCTTCTTTTTCCATCATTCTCTCTTACTTATTTTTTGTTTGGATGAATATGTCATTTTTTTATTTGTAAATTATAGTAAATTAAATATTATTTCTTTTATTTTTTGTGAATATGATAGAGTAGGATACGATTTTTTTTTGAATTGATTTTTATAATGATCAATGCAATTTAAAATCTTGGGCACTGGTTAAAAAGAAGTTGGGAAAAAAATAAAAATCATAAGAAATCAATTTTGAATGTATAAAGGTTAAATGAATTAACTTTTCATATACTAATAGTATAATGATTTTTTTACACTAATAGTTTTGAATGTATGCGACATGTGCATGATTTGAATTTATATTATGTAGCATGATTTAAACCTGTTAATATTAAAAAAAAAATTATGCATTGACAGTGTATAGAAAAGTTATCCAAGTTAAATTGGTGCTAGTATATTTCTTTGCAAATACATTTTTTATTTTTCAAATTTATATTTTTATAGACTATAGCATATTGTGGCGTAGTAGTATTACTAGAGATTGTTTTTTAAGAGATGATTTTCTTGGAGTAAACAAAGTGATTTAGGAGTATTTTTATTTAACAAGCAAAAAGGTAGTTTAGGATTTTTGAAAATTTTGTTGCATAAATAACAAAAGTAAGGAAGGTAAGTGATATTTTTAAAATTTTAGGGGTATTAGGTGATATTAAGAAAAATCTCATGGGATTTTTTTTGATATTATCCCTTCTCTTTATACTTAGCAACCACTGCAACATTTATTCCCTAGTTATGGGGGCCTAAAATTACTTTATGTAACTAAAGTTTCAACAAAAGGGTCTCCTTACATCACTCATAGGTTATTTCGAATCCTCATTCAACAATCAATCAATTTGATTTCCCACAAATTGACATGAAGTCCAAGAATCATTCAAAGAAGAGTAAAAATTTGGAAACTCTGTAGTAATAAAAAGTTTACTGAAAAGTTGGATTAACTAAAATTTACTTCGATAAGGCATGCATTGATATTTACCTTATTCTCTTAACTTTTGTTTTGTGTCACATAACTTCAAGGGAGACCGAAAATACCCTTTGCTATTGTGAATTTTATTTTTAAATTGGTTTCTTCCTTTTTCCAATGAATTTTAACAAGTTGACTATTCTAATTGATGGTGATCAAGTTTCAGATTAGAGAGCAGATATATTAGGGAATACACTAGGGATTGATTATTTTTAAAACATTATAAATAAAATATCAGAAAACTAATTATCAGGAAAATTCAAAGGTGGACCGAAAAAAGGGGGGGAAGTCACCAACAGAAGGCTCACGGCTTAAGATTTTTCCTATTCAAACTTCTGGATTAGGGGCTCAAGACTTGGAAGCGTAGGTTGATGCAAAACTATGACAACTGTGTGTCAAATAATGCTGAATGATGAATATGTATTCGATTTCAATCCGGGATATAGTTGGTAAAAGCAAACATGCTCTTAAATTTTCTTGAGCTCTTTAGGGTCTTTCACATTTTTCTCCACACAAAAATTTGGCAATGGAAGACCTTTACCTTTCCAAGTGTATGGTCCAAAAAAAAATGAGGGTTTATAACGTTTGTCATTCTTGAGGTCCAACTTGAGTATCAAGAATCCTTAATTTCATGCATCTGAGTCATCTACAAGACAAATAAACTACTCCAGATCCTTCACGAACGAAAGTCGACTAGGATGAGAAACATCCACGCTGCATATACTGCCAAGCCAAAAGCTGCTAGAAGCATCTTGCTCTTCTCCTATTTAAACTGCAACCAATCATTCCCTCCAAAACTGTCCAACTGCCATCAACTGCAGAAAACACAGGATATCCTCATACAGCTACTAAGTGTTTTGAATCCACTCTACCTTTAAGTTACTGAAAAAATTTTCAGTTAATAAAATGTCTCCTGCTCTATCTTTATCTATGTCTCACCTTCCCATCTGCAAATGCCAAGATGATCCAAAAGACAGTTCCAGGATCAGCAAAAGCTCCAGCAGAGAGAACACATGTCACAGAACTCCAGTAGCGAATATTGATGTCAAATTTAGTCGGCGAAACCTGTTACAAAGCACTGGTGTAAGCCTAGTTGGAGGGACTCTGGCTCAGCCTGCAAGGGCTGGACCAGAGCCAGAAAGTCCAATGGAAGCTAGTTCGAGTAGAATGTCGTATTCAAGATTGTTAGAGTACTTAGATCAAGGTAATGTTAAGAAGGTGGATTTGTTCGAGAATGGGACTGTGGCAATTGTTGAGATATACAATCCTGCACTGGAGAAATTCCAGAGAGTTAAAGTTCAGCTGCCTGGATTGCCACAAGAATTGTTGACAAAGCTCAAAGAGAAGGATGTGGATTTTGCATCTCATCCAATGGAGGTGAATATGGCCTCTGCCGTTCTTGACTTGCTGGGAAATTTGGCTTTTCCCTTGATACTGCTTGGCGCTCTCCTCTTGAGAAGTTCTTCAAATACACCCGGAGCTGGAGGTCCAAACCTACCTTTTGGATTAGGAAGGTAAGTTGAACATTCTGATTTACAATGCAAGTATTGGTCATTAGTAAGCAATAAAAATTTTGAAGTTAGTACTGAAAACTATTGGAATATTCTTACAGGAGCAAAGCCAAATTTCAAATGGAACCAAATACTGGAGTGACATTTGATGATGTAGCTGGAGTTGATGAAGCAAAGCAAGATTTTCAGGAAGTTGTTGAGTTCTTAAGAACCCCAGATAAATTTGCTGCAGTAGGAGCAAAAATTCCCAAGGGCGTACTCTTAATAGGACCTCCAGGAACAGGGAAGACATTGTTGGCTAAAGCCATAGCTGGAGAAGCGGGGGTTCCTTTCTTTAACCTTTCAGGTTCAGAGTTTATTGAGATGTTTGTTGGAGTGGGAGCTTCTAGAGTGAGGGACTTATTCAACAAAGCTCAACAGAATTCACCATGTTTGGTCTTCATTGATGAGATTGACGCTGTTGGGAGGCAGAGAGGAACTGGTATTGGTGGAGGAAATGACGAAAGGGAGCAAACACTTAACCAGCTGCTCACAGAAATGGATGGTTTTACGGGAAATACTGGAGTCATTGTCCTTGCTGCCACTAACAGACCCGATGTTCTAGATGAAGCTTTGCTTAGGCCAGGAAGGTTTGACAGACAGGTACTAATCATGCTGATGTGACTTTGAGAAGCAGAAACACACTACTAATCAAATCTTAATTTGTTTTAACAGGTTAGTGTTGGACTCCCAGATGTAAGAGGGAGAGAAGAAATATTGAAGGTTCACAGCAACAACAAGAAACTCGACAAGGATGTCTCTCTCAGTGTCATTTCTATGAGGACTCCAGGATTCAGTGGTGCAGATCTTGCAAACCTCATGAATGAAGCTGCTATTCTTGCTGGTCGGAGAGGCAAAGAGAAGATAACCTTAAAAGAGATTGATGATTCAATTGATCGAATTGTAGCTGGAATGGAGGGAACCAAGATGACAGATGGAAAGAGCAAGATTTTAGTGGCTTATCATGAAGTTGGGCATGCAGTCTGCGCGTGAGTTCATCACTCAGTGGTTCTCATTTCTATTGTTATGTATCATCTTACTCTTGCGGAATATTCTAAAAATGAAAAAATGGACCGAAGCTTCTTCCTTTAATAGTCATGTTAAGCAAGATCCTTCATGCGTCTAGGCTGTTTAACATGAACGATACATTATGAGCTTATCGTTTTCCTTGGCTGAATACAGGACCTTGACACCGGGTCATGATCCTGTACAGAAGGTGACAATGATCCCTAGGGGTCAAGCCCGTGGTCTGACGTGGTTCATACCCGGTGAGGATCCAACACTGATCTCAAAGCAGCAGCTTTTCGCCAGAATTGTTGGAGGGCTTGGAGGTAGGGCCGCAGAAGAAATAATATTCGGCGAACCAGAAATAACAACTGGTGCTGCAGGAGACTTGCAGCAGATTACCCAAGTAGCAAGACAGGTATGTTTCAAGAACTTAATTCTTTGGAAATCAGGATAACTATATTCAAGTTTTACAAATTCAACTTACTCTGATGGTATTCTTTTTTTCCAATAACAGATGGTGACAACTTATGGAATGTCTGAGATTGGGCCGTGGTCTTTGACTGATCCGGCAGGACAGAGCAGTGATGTGGTGCTGAGAATGCTGGCAAGAAACAACCTGTCTGAAAAGCTTGCCGAAGATATTGATAAATCAGTGCGTCAGATTATTGAAAGAGCATATGAAATTGCAAAGAATCACATAAGAAATAGCAGGGAGGCAATGGACAGTATAGCGGAAGTGCTGCAAGAAAAGGAAACCCTGACAGGTGATGAGTTCAGGGCTCTGCTCTCAGAGTTTACCCACATTCCTCCTGATCATCTATCTAGAAAACCAATACGCGAGCTGATTGAGGCCTAAGTACTAACCAACCTTGTAAATTCACTTGAATAACACATTGTATCTTCAACACATTGTACATGCATACTGAATGAAATGCAATTAGAAAGACAGACTAGTATGAACAAAGAGCATATAAAGCATCAGCAATGTCCAAAAAAGAGCATAACTTTGTGCAGGTAGCAATAAACAATTGAAGCTCCATAAGAGACGGACCACGAGTTTAAATCCAATTTTATCATTTTATGACAGCTCCAAAATTACTCATTCGGTCCAAAGAATGTCATCATAAACCCATCACCAATTTCTTTTCACTTCTTTTTTTTTTTTTTTATATACTAAACAAAATTATATATGTATGTATGAAAAAAAAACAGCAACAACAAAGTAAAAAGCCGTCAAGGAGGGTGGAGATTTAGGCTGGGCTAACGAAAGATAAATAGGTGCATTTGCCTTAGCCATTCCATGCGGGTGGAAGTTGGCTGGTTGATCAAGTATATCATAAACCAAACGATAATATTTCTTTGGCAGAATAAAAAAAAAAAAAAGAGTGAAAGGATGCCAAATATAATCTTCAGCTGAC